GGAGTGCAGTGTTTCCGAACGGGTGACACCTAATTGCCTTTTGCTTTATCCGCTACGGTCCAAGTGGCTGAATGGCCAAGGTTCCCTTCAATGGAAATCGCGGTCCACTTTGAGCTTACGTGTCGCAATCAATCAATACAACGTGTACTTCAAATTGGCCCTCCGAGATTAAAATATCCAACTCAGCGAACAATTGAAGATGCTTATTCATATCCCGAGCTCCGAGCATTTCTAATACCATCCATGTACTAACATTAAATTAGCAATCAAGCTGGTCAAATACTTAGCTGAATACTTAACCGTGTTTATAAATTTACACCATGATTTTTGCGGGTGCTGTTTATGGATGGACGACAGCACCGATCAAGTGTGGGTCAGATATGGAAGAATTTTGTGACGTTGATACTGTACCAAGTAATGGACCGTCACAAACCGGCAAACTCCACGCCCCTGATACATGGAATTTCGCTTGTTAATAATTCCTCATCAGATGGAGTTGCAAATGCTGTTCGGTGTCAGTAAAGGTGGCCGAACGAACAACGGGCAATGAATCGCCTTGGCACCAGACGGCTGATAATAGGTAAGGATAGGTTTGCGTGGTTTGATTCAAATTAATTCGGCGGATGAGCTGGGGATTCGACTCACCGAGCCCTCAGTCGTCAGGCTTTTATTAAGACGGGGATGAAAGCTTCTGCTGTCATGTGCCCCAGTTACAGTTGGGCTTAAGATGATTGCATAAAACGTTTGTGACCTTTTGTGGGACGCCTGTACAATCGGCACCTAGTCGGGTGTCTAAAGAATTCCACTAGACAGTAGTTTCAACCTGCCGGACCTAGTCAGTAATGCGCTTCCATCGGATGCTTCAGGATCCCAACCACTGACCATGCACTATATTGCAGTTAAGTTGTAAATTATGATGGTCTATCGCGTTCCCCCATGACTCAGTGGAATAAACTGCTGCTCAGCGGTGCAATCCTGTGGTAGTCATGGGTTCGAATCCTGAAGAATCCGATGAATGCTCACTAATGACTAGGCCTAACAGGTCGCAACTGCATTCTAGTGTTTTCCTGGGTATGTGGAGTGCAATCTGATTTGGAAGCTGTTGAAATGAACTTTCAGATAAATACTTTGAATGTATTAGTGGGTCTTATTGAAACACTCGTTGTGTGCATAAGTCTCCACCAGCAATCTCAATGTGGACCGCAATTAGCAGTGAAGTAAACCTTGGTCAGTTTGATACGTGGGACCGCAACTGATGTATCAGATAGATAATGGGTGTTGTCCACCCGAAAACACTGCACTCCACGACTGCTTGTGACTCATTGGCTAAAGGTTGCAGCTGCCATCCCGACGGCCCATTGGGTCCGATGCCTGCTAGCACTACCTGATGAAATCATATAAGTTCGAAACCAGTCGTGAAGTGTAATGTTTTCAAGCGGGCAACACCCAAATATTTATCTAGTACAAATTTGCAATTATTTTGTCTAATCCAGTGGTTAATGTTTGGTTGTGGATAAAAGGAGGACGCAACTTAATATGTCCCGCCGAGCAGTCGGTTAGGTTTTCTAAAATATCAACCGAAAAACAAATATAACGGGCGAATCAGTATAAACAGTGAACTTACCGAGCAATATTCCTCCATCTGAATTGTTCCCGCAGTGTAATGCAAACCTCAATGCGACTGTCCTCGCTTTTCTCCATATGACGGGTTTTGTATTTTGATGTTCGCATGGATCATTTTTGTTAGATGACGTTGTGTGATGCAACCAGCCTATTGTTGGCACAATTTTCTAGCGCAGCTCATATAAAGGATGAAATAACAGCTTCTAAGAGGGCACTTTTATGTGGGGCGAACAAACAAAGAAAATCTTGTTCCCAAAAAAATCCAGTACGCTATATACTTTTTCCAGTTTGTGACGTTTAGCTTTAAATGTACTGGTACGACTGGGCTTCAAAATGTATTTAAGGTTGCTTAAAATCTAGCAGACCATCAGTGTGTCAGTACACAGAGACCGATGGCGTCCATTGCAGAACCAGAATACTAAGTCACGGTTTATATGGCAAGTGATTTAGCTCTATGGGGATTTTTGTGGCCCAAAGTTGTGATATTTCCAAAACAGCGAGGTAACGTTTCTATCATGGCGTCCACGCCTGTTTTTATACACCGGGTGAGGTCCTATTTGTGTATACGGCAATCGATAGAAAATCGATGGGTGGAAGCGGTTTAGAGGCTCTTGGTAAAAGCCCCACAGTTTAGATACCGTTTATGATTCTGCTTCGGAATGCTCAACTCAGCCGAGGGCTTCCTAAAACAGCACGACATCTTTTCAACTGAGAGCAATACTTTAGATTCTAGTCACCCAGCTTATAAGTATGAACTAGTTAGTGTCGCAGATTGATACTCAACATTTAGTTGCGTTGAAATAAAGACGATTCTGGGCTGTCAACTCATAAATGTTGTCTATGTTGTTTCTAAACTGTGCACGTCCTCTGGAGCATTGATCGGCTACAAAAATGTGTCATCGTCTGCATAAAGTAAACAGTGTGAAGCGGTTAAACTCATTAACTGGTTACTAGCAATCAAGAACTGGTAGGGCCAAAATTTCAAACTTTGTGGGATATCACATTCGACTTAGATGAGATGGGATACGGATTCACGCTCTTTCAAATCCAGAGGTCTGTGCAAACAAAAGTTGCCGATCCACTGCGTTAGCAACAATGTGTCAGTCTGCTCGGGAGCATGCCCGGAATGCATACTTCTTCTTGCCCATTGCATACACTCAGGGTGTCTGATTGGCTAATATCCTATGACCAATGAGAGTCACTGATGGTGGCTTCAAGTAGCCACGCTGGGAGAGACTGGGTTCGTATGTGTGCTAACTTGAGTAAACAACGGGTGATTATGATCTTTTAATAAGCTAACTTATTAGCACTATGTGTGAAATTGCCTGTAAAAGGTATACTGAGGAGTCACGAATGCAGCGTTATCGAAACATGGCGAGAAGGATGCTTTAGTCCAACTTGTCGAATGTCCTGTAAAAGTCGAAGTAGACAGCAACGCGCCTTTGATACCGCCCACTGTTTTGATCCAATTGACTCTTGCTAACAGCAAATTAAGAGTGCGTGTCGGGTTCGGCAAAAACTTGCGCCATTCAACCAAGTTCCTCCATGTAAGACATGGGCATCTCAGTAGTGGTAGCCTTCATAACTCTTGAAAGGACCGGAAGAAATGTCATGGTACAGCTGGTAAGTGGGTACGAAAAACTGGTTACTCTATAAATTGGAGCTACTGTCCCATTTTTTCATACTATATGAAAGTGGCCTTTCCCAAAACAGAGCTGAAAGCAGCGCGTCATGGGTTCGGTCAAGCTCTTTGTTGTCATAGCAAATGTCTGCGTGGGCACATGGGTAACCGTGTCTGTCGTAAAGTAAATATCAGTAAACCTTGTTGGTGGCAATGTATATTTCAAAGGATCAGGGTACCACAGAGCATATTTAAAAGTTGGTGCGTACTGCCGCTGCCGAGCATTCATCACTTCATTGGCGGTCAATATTAATTCGTCCGACGTTAGAAGAGAAAAATAACTGCACTTTAAGAAGGCTGCTCACGTGATTGCACAGTAGTTTATGATTTAAGCTAAATCGTTCTGTTTAAGCCTGTTCATGTGCCAATTTATCCAGGCGCACTAGTTGAAGCTAAATTCTACAGGGGTTAACATCGATCTTCCAAGTGTTCCGGCTCTCATCAGTTTTGTGCTGCGTTTCAAATTGTCATGAATTTGCGAATCACAGTACAAAAGCGGCCATGTTATTCAAACGGATAGTCTCAGTTTCCGATAGCAGCAACAAGCACAGCGATGAACTTACTGATGAATCCTTTCCACTCACTGCCCAGTGTGTTCTCGTCGAAGCAACTCCCGTCAGTTGCTCCAAGCAGTCGAACTTAGGTGTCGCACCTTGTTAGGATCTTTGTCACTTGGGTTTTCTACCAGGGAGTTTATACATAGCAAGTGTACATGGGCAGTCAGGTTGCGTCGTCACTGCGGACTAGATGACTGCCGATGACCACGCCGCCGATCATGAGTTTTTGGTAAGTGAATACAAGGTCCAGTATGGATGGTTGGTTTGTTTTGTTGATCCTGGTGGAAGAAGTGAAGTGACCATAATGCCCAATCAAGTTCTTGCTGGCATGTTTTGAATCGTTCTCCCGGGGGTGACTTGGATTCCTAGGCATTTAAGTTAGAGTCGCCAGTAATTAGAACCTGGCTGCATTTCCTTTTCATCATTCGTATTATCACAGACACCAAGTTAAAGTCCATCTCAAGTGTGGAAGTTGGAATGGTATTCAACTGCAACGAGGCAAACGGTGTTTCCCCACACAGTCGTAGGTGACACTAAAGGGAATCGAGCACTGAGGCTTGCTGGTTCTGTATGGGTTCGTTTTGTATTTCGATGCACATTTCCAGAGCTACCCCCACATCTGCTGACTTTATCGTCCAGGAGAAAGACATCTGTTGGCGCTATCTCAGCACATGCTATCTGGCATCTGAACCACATTTGTGTGGTGATGACGAGGTCCCAGGAGTCTGGGGCTTGTTTAAGTTGCAGTTCAGGTAATTCGTTGAGTAGGCCTTAAAATTACTTACACGCTCTGAAGGACAAGTGGAGTAATTGAAATCCTTATATATTGCTTCCCGTTAAACAAAAAATAACCTCTAAATATTATGGCTTTTCACGCTTATTACTCATCTGTTTAAGTTATGGCCTATAGACAGCGTTGACAAAGTAGGTCACCCTGTCTGCTGTACAAAGACAGGTATATATGAGACTGTCTATCCAGATCTCGCAAGCTATCAGATGTAGTAAGCGGATTTTTAACTTTTTATATTTTTATGAGTTTTCCGTAATTCTGTAACAAGATTAAAATCTGTTTGGTCTGTTTCCTAGCATAGCCCTACAAAGGTTTCTAAAGCTTTTATTCCATTTACTTATATTCCCAGAAAATTCTGAAAATTTGTGACGCTAACCATGATCGAGCCTTGTCGGTGGAGGAATTTAATACTCTTCTGAACCTGGCTCCAGGAGGTGACCTGAGGTAAAGGTTCAAATATTCTGTGAACATAATCCATCCCCATTCAAATCAGTGAAACCTGATTACGATGACAACTCAAACCAAAAACCTGCAAACTAGATAAGTACAACCTTTAGCTAAAACATGTAACTGTTCTTTTTATAAGTCCACAATAGTCTCCAACAACTTTCGATGCTATATGTGAACGGCTGTAACTAATAACATCACCACACCTGCGGTTCAGACGACAACAAAGAGAATCAACAACTTGTGTTTCTGGCTTGTCGATAAAATCGATACGTACCTCCAAGCCGTAATACAATATTAGTTCGCCTCAACTACTGGGTCAATTTTTCGGTTAGATGGTCATGCTTGGCACAAATATCTCAGCAACGGTGAGCTCAGTATTCAGGCATGTTTCGGGAAATATGACAATGTCCCAAGACGAGGAATGATGGTGAATACGATACTCCCTTATCTCAATGAGGAAAGTTTGTGCGGCGGCAAGAGCCGCGGGTGCTAAAAATGTATTGGTAGGTACAGATTTCAGGTAGTACTTTATGCCGTACCATGTGTGGTCGGTTGTTAGTTGTTTTTGCTGAAATGTTGACACAGCAGCGGGGGCCATTCTAAGTTGGTGTATGGAGCGCATAGTGGCAGCCTTGGTTCAAAACCTAAACTTACTTCAGCGATCAGAAGGATTTGGAGCTACTTGCTGACGAAGTCGCACACAAACCCTGCTTGGCTAAAGTTATCTTGTCACTTTGTAGCCGGATATCCATCGCCTTTATGTGCAATTCGACTAGCATTATTCTACACACTTTGTGCTAAAGTTCGAGTGTCTTTCGTAGAAATGGTTTTTGGTAGCAAACGTTTGCATCACTCGTAGACCACTCCCATTTTAGTTGGATGACAAAAGTGAACTTGAGATCAGATCAGCGATTACGCTTCCGTGAGCGAGCACTTCAGGTTTGAGGCGTTCCGCATTTCATTCGTATGCTTAATCTTGTAACTCCCCTGAAGTCTGAAACTCCGGAGCGTGACGTACAAATATTGCTACAATCCCTCTAATTTACAGTAGTTATCTGGGGATTGTCTGGGTTATGAAAATTGCTTTAAGAAACACCTGGAATACTGCGAGCCATGCATGAGTAGTTCGGAGATTACTGGCTCACAAAACGACTTCTAAACCAAATGACTAAACTATTACTTGGAGACGCCTTGGTTCACCGTAGTGTAGAGCTTAAATGACGGACGGTGCGAAGCGTTCTGGCCTGTTAGAGAGAGACATGGAAATACATTGTTTCCGGTCGGCTAACTATTTATCTTTCATCAAATGCGGCTCTGATTAAAGCAAAGTGGAACATGTGATAGTCATAGAATAGTGCCATGAGCTTGTGTCCTTGTTTTCGAAGAGTTTGTGGCTACTTTATTCGGTGGAACGACAGACAACATGTTAGGTTCAGCGGTAGTGTTGACAGTACGGTTACTCTTGTTAAGACATAACAGTATCAACATCCTGTTGGCAGAAACAATTGACGCGTATCTTATTAACTTCTTAGTTGTAATGGACGTGCCATGTGACACTGCCGAACCATGTGCTACGAAGACGACATTAGAAACAACCTAGCATTCCGGACGAGATAGGAGTCACTGGGGACAGAGTATCTAACGCTGAATCATTACCCTTACACCCGCCCTATTTGCTCTTTTGTGGAGTAGCACGTGGCCTTGGACATAGAGTTCCTGATTTCGAACTGGATCGGTCCAATGGAACAAGTCCTACAGTGGTTGCTCGCTCTACCACTGTGCTGGTCTGTCGCAATTCTTCATCAGTACAACTCTACATCTAAGGTGTGGAGTAGCTGTCCATTCTGTGCGAAAGCATACAGAATCGATCTGCTGTTGCGTTTTTTTACCTTGCTTAGAGATATGTGAGTGCATTTAGGATAAGACTGTTTACAACAATTACTACACGCTATTCTAACTCGCTTACCATTTAATAGCCTATTACACGGTAATGAGCGCTTCATTCGGGTGCTTTCGACTTTAATTTCGGTGGGCAGGCGGTGCGTGCTGTACTGGTTGCCAATCCAGCAAGTTTTTGCGAATGCCCTTAGTTGTGGGTACTACCTGGACGGAGAATTCTAAACGTCACCAGTTGGGATGTTGGTAGGGCACATACAAGAAATTAATTGGCTGAAGGCTGTTTTGGTTGGGCGGGGAGGTTCCATGACAGTCTACACCACCCAAATGGAAACACACGTTAGGTCATTTGTCTGGTGTCCAGTGGCTTTGATGCGCCGCATTTAATCGTTCGATAAGATTAGGTAGTTGATGTTAGAGAGTAGTTGTAGACACAGCATTGCAGGCTTCTATTGTAAAAGCGGCTGCAACTGCCTATCCAGTTATCAGATAATTATGATAAATGCTCGACGGGGCGTTTGTGGTACGTCCGTTTGAACAAGGTCGAGTGTGTGCATTTACACTTCGAAAGCAAGCTGGTGGCAAGCGTGATTTTCCTCCAAAGTCCTCCAAACTTAAGTGACAAATGTGATGATGAGGGGGATTACGGACGAGGCTACTGGTAGAGACATGTCGGAGCCCTTGCTTCGAGATTCAGTGATTAACGTCGTTAGCCACTTGCCTGAAATTTTCAGACCTTCCGTGACATCACTGCCATTGTACTTGTGTCCTGGTCCTGCTGTTATGTCGCGCTGCCAAATGTAGCTCTGCCCTATGAATTATCGCCATAAGACCTCAAAGAAAAAGCTATGAATTCAGCCATTAGTTCATTAGTGGAGTAAGCTTTAGCTTATCACCAACCACTGCGTCTAGTAAAACAATAAACCCGTTTTATCAAGGATAGCGTCTGACAGCAGACGATGCAGCCAAATGCGAAGAAAGAAACACAAGCGCCAGCAACACATGGGCACATAATTCATGTTGACGGTGCTTTCAGTGTTTTGTTTGGCAAACATTTTAGTTGTTTTTGTTGTTCATCTCAGTAGTTTCCAAGTCAGATATCCTACCGCAAATCCGGACGTACAGCAGAGAGTCGTTTTGTCTTACTGGAACTCATCAGTGGTGCGCATTCCCTCGGTCCCCTACTGGGGATCGAACCCATGACCGCTATAGGCAGATGCCAACTAGCCAGCAGTTTATGCCTCTGATCCAATGGCACGTCAACTGGGCTACACCATTTGTAAGCCTATAGTTTGTAAGCTTCAGGGACGAATACATTAAAAGCATAACTAAAAAGCTCCAACTCATAAGTAAGTTAATATATATTGTCTGCCCCAACCGAGTACACAGAAGGCCCTCAGCTGACGCTCATGTAATAGAATCGAAAACTGCATGCTCTGATCCATTGGAGCAATAATATGATAACATATGGGCACCAGGTGATATTTACTGAATTCCAATCACAGAAGCCATCTGGTAGGATACAACGATAATGTTCTAAAAGTGAACTACTTTTGGCTATCGTACTGCGTTCTCAGGATACTTTCTTTGTACCGTAATGTGACTAACGTAGGAAGTTGGAAAGCTGAATTTCGCCTATCGCATTAGATGGTTAAGAAAGCTGTCTAACAACTTCGGTGCCCTCACATCTGAACGGTATTTTGTGGACAGAGCAAAAGCTGATTTTCATAGTGTCATCTCACCCAGCAGACCTAACTGTACCAACGAATGTCGAAGGGCCTCGAATTTGACCGGTAGTGAAAAACATAAAAATCCAGATAAAGCTGTTATTTTATGCTGTTGCTTGAATGGTCAGCTGCTTCACTCACAATCGAAGTTTGATAACTATCATGGATCACATCTAAGGCTTTTTTCATATGAAGTGTTTGCAAGAGCAACAGCGAAACACCTCCGTTTCGGATACGTTTCTTACGATCAGAATGACCCAGTCAATTTCATAGTGAATCGAGATCTCAATAGAGTTGGCATGTCATATTTCAACCACACGGCAAATACTTCAAATCCAACTATCATTTGTTCAGCTAAGTACAAGTCATTTCGAGTGACATCACAACCGGATGAACGCAAGCAGGGGCTCTACTGCGGCAATCGATTGTGGTGCAGCTCTGCTACTGGACAATAACCAACTAATGTTGCGAAGAAATTAAAAAGCATACAACCATAAAGATCATTTTAGTTACATTTCGATATAGTATAGTCACAAATATTCAGGATCAAACTGGGATTTTTCAGTGGGCATTTTCACTGCCGTCAATAAGATGGACTTGTATAAAATGAACAAAACGGTTGTTGGTTGAAAATGGGCATTGAAGGTATATTAAGACAACGTGCACTTTTTAAAATGCTTCGAATTTCATCGCTTTTCTTAAATTAATCTGTATTGTTCTTGAATTTGCAGCGATCCTGGCTTACCAGCAATAATAGGCGAAAAATACAAGAATGTCCGCCGCACTCACCAAACACATTTGCATACGAAACGATGAGGAAAAAACGGCCAGTTGCAGGTTAACTGATTTCAACTGGAAACAGGTTTATGGCTCATAAGTGTGAGTAAACTAACCTATCTACACACCCTTTCAAAAGCGAATAAATAGATTTACGAAAAGTGACAACCGGCTTGAGTCCTACATACACTGATGGACCCGGCTGGCTACCAGTTCCGAGGGGGAGAGACAGTATCGGAGTATCACGCATTTTGGTGAGCGCGCTCTACGTTACTCGTGGCCCTATCAAAAAAAGAAGAAAGCAGATGCGTTCTCATAATTGCTTTCATTCATATTCAGGGTTGTAGAAACCGTGGAAATTAATTGATGTGAACTGGAGAATAGGCTTGCGTGACCTGATAGTATATAAAGTGGTCCGGTGTGCTCGAGGAAGCACACTTCGTCACGCATGCATTCCACCTAAAATACCACCATGTAACAGTATGCTAATGCCCACTACACCATTGAATGGGCAGTGTCTCAAACAAAACAGCCAGTTGGCCAGAAAACTAACTCACGTGAACCATATTAATAAAAGTATTTAACCTGGGGCTTCATTACCAATCTGAATAAGACGCATCCACAAGTCGGGGGGCTCAGGACCAGTTTCCCCGCTTACTTTGCTCGTTCCAAATGCTGATGTTTACTGGAATAGCAAATTTAACCCGTTTCGCTATAATCAAGAGATGGGAATCACTACTCTCTCCATGGCATCCGCCATCTGAAGGACGAATGTCAGTTAGTTAAAATCTAATTTTTTCCGTCACACGGAATCTGTATTAGTAGTGACATTCCACCACAGCTACTTGCATGTCAGACTTATCACATTTTAAGCTGTAATCATGTTGAAGATCAGAAATGTGGCCACTCTTCTAGATGAAGTGAAGATCACTTAATGTTGCAAATAGTTCACTCAACTCAAATGATAAACATGAAGGGAAATTGCATGGGAACTCCAAATCCAGTCTATAGCTCAGTGGTATAAAAAGTACTTATTGGTACTCATAAACTGCACAGTTGGGTCTGACGACTGCGTAAACATACGTTATTACATGTACGCCACTTATGTCCTAACTGTATCGACCAAGTGACAGGGAGCAAGCAGAGTAGACAAGCATCTATCCTTAAGCTAACTCAGCCGACCAGTTCAGCGCTTCTCAAAATAGCTAAGCACTTTTCAGTTGGGTTCCAAACAACGTCGGGACAAACTAACAGAGAGCAACATTCAGTAAACTTAAGGGAGCTCGTTGCATGCAACCCGCCACCACCGTGCTTGATAAATTAGCTGACCCTGGTCAAATTTGAGAGAAAAGGAGAAATGTCAATTGCTTTCTGCTAATTTGAGCAAGAATTCCGTTTGCATCCGATGTGGCACTGACAAATCACAACTCAAGCAGTGGAAATCAAAGCAAACCTTTAGAATATTTAAACACTGTGTACTTGAGCTTCAACAGCTATTGATGCGAAGCCAGCTAATCTCATTCCCTCTGACAGTGGTTTCCCTAATCAACAGTTGTACTAAACGAGGATTGTGGAAACAAACCAGAAACCATTTAGTCTCTAGCCACAAAAAAGCGATTTTTATTAAAAAATTATCTGTAAGTTATTGAAAATTTTCCCAACTTGTCAGATCGATGTGCGGACTGTGTCCGCTCGATATCTTCGCTGTGTAGACGACCATTGACCATTGCGTAAACTAAGTAAAACACTACTCAAAGTTTTCAGTAGCACACATTTTGATAATATGCACTGAAGGCCAAAAGTTTGTGTCACAGTTATGCCTGGAAGGACAGAGTCAACCAAACCACTTCTGCTGTTTTCATATGCTTGATATATCTATCTTTCGCCCGTATGTGCGAAACGTGGAGCAATTTAAAACCGAGAAACTCCAGACCCCAAATTGTTGGTGAGTAGTCTTAGAAATATCAACATCACAATTATTGTAGCTGACCGGGATAGTGCAATCGATTTTGTGACCATGTTCTAACAACAGCAAGATGCATCTTCAGTCTGTGAACTGTATGCTGTGACATTCAACAAATGCGGAAGTCCAAAAGTCGTCCGTGCCCAGAATATCTGTGATTTACGACTTGGAATATATTAGTTATGTCGAATTTAATTCGCTGTGGTTGGATGAATTTCCTTCATTGTCTATCCACGCTGTTCCTGTAAAAACACAGAATCTCGCCGAGTTAACAGCTCCTTATCCCGCACTACTTACCTTGTAATATATTATCTAAATACTGTAAGAAATAGAATCCTGCGGCCAAAATTTGCTTGCCTTTATTTGAAGCCATGTCACAGCACCACACCGACATGCAGATTACGGACCTATGCGACTTCAGCTGCAGTGTCATACCTAAATCTTGTAGGCGGCACACCGGGAATCATTTACTTAATCGAAAATTTGCTCTGCAATTGCGCCATTGGTAGATATGATGATGATGATGATGATGATGATGATGATGATGATGATGATGATGATGATGATGATGATGATGATGATGATGATGATGATGATGATGATGATGATGATGATGATGATGATGATGATGATGATGATGATGATGATGATGATGATGATGATGATGATGATGATGATGATGATGATGATGATGATGATGATGATGATGATGATGATGATGATGATGATGATGATGATGATGATGATGATGATGATGATGATGATGATGATGATGATGATGATGATGATGATGATGATGATGATGATGATGATGATGATGATGATGATGATGATGATGATGATGATGATGATGATGATAAAGTAGCAAGCCAGGTGATGAAGCCACAGCTTTATTGTCGCCTAATCACGGCGACAAGGTACTCAATTCCCCAACAACCACCGACTGCTTTCTGGAAACACCAAATATGTTCACAGGATTGGATACCTACTCATAGCTAAAACAATGTGAGCCGCTCACCGAAAAATATACGTCTAGAGTACACTCGCCTGCAATCAGCCATCAAAACGACACTCAGGTTTACTGACAGCTACAATATGTGTACGGTGTGCATCCAAAACATTTATGTGTGTTGCGAACGCAATATGCTCTTGCATTTCAGAGCATTTCACCATTAGGCGATCCTCCAGGATTTATTTTCCCACCTCCAGGACTAACATCTCTATTGCTACTATAGCTGTATTGCCGAGGCTGACGCCTGCACATCCAGATCTCCCTGCGAATCGACACCAAACGCCCAGAGATACTTAGAACAGTTGCATGACAAGTGGCAAACCTCTGACTCTCTTTTTCAACGTTGCTTAGACCAGAACTACGTTCCTGCTTTATGGAAGCTTTGAATGATAACTCACATTCACAGGCAGGAGCAGGAATGGGACCTAAACTACCGCCAAGTAGCGCTTCTCTATATCCTCTAAGGTCATGGAAACCATCGTTGTCGCTACGTTGGTGTTTTAACTATAAAATTGTTACAAGATGGCTCCCGAATAACACGGCTTTTGTCGACAGAGATCGCGCACAGCGAATTTCTTAATCGCATGGAGTAGTTGGGCCGACTCGCTGACGCTGCTGAGGCCGTTGACGTGAACTACTTGGAGTTTTCGAGGTCAATCAATCGTTTGGCTCATCAAAATTTGCTTTCCAAGTTCTAGTAATACAGGATCTGTGACCCTTTCTTGAGCTGGATCGTCAACTTGCTCCTACAATGACAATTAGTGGTCAGGTTCCGGAGTTCCTTACATGACTCCATACCCGTCGAGTGTGGTGTGCCTCATGGCTCACTTCTAGGCTTACGGTTGTTTTTGGGATACAGTAATGACCTAAGGCAGAGAATCGCTTCAAATGTCCTGTTTTTGCTGACGACCTCAAGATATGGCGCAGGATTCAGCTGGATGCCGATTAGTATTTACTTCGGTGTGACTTAGACTTAATACATCAGTAGTCAGCTTTAAGCCTGCTGCTCTTCCAAGTGAGCAAATACATGATTCCATACGATCGCAGAGTATCTATTCCTATTAGCTAGGAACGCAATTTAGGCAGCACTTAGCTGTCGAACGCGACCTTCACGTACTGGTTTACGATAACTTGGGTTGGATAACTTGGGTTGTGTCCAGCAATCCGAAAAGGTGTCTAAAGCAGGTAACCAAGACTTCGGCTTGTTACGACGGGCGTTCGGACAAATAGATACCACTATTTTCAGATAGATGCTAAACGCGTATCTTCGACTTCATGTCGAGTACGCAATTCAATGCTGACAGCCACGGCTGAAGCACGACCTCACTGCACTGAACCAACCCCAACCTCGGGCATCCAAACACGTCATTGGAATGCGAAATCTACCATATGAATTAAGGCTGGAACGTTTGGGATATTTTTTGGACGTTATCGCCGGCTGCGCGGTAACTTGAAAATGGCATACTTAATTTTACAAAACGTAAGTCATGTGGGTCACTTTTTACTGCAACTCAGCAGTACCATCAGAATGCAAGGTCACTCCCTGAAATTAGCAGAACTTTCTCGCCGTCCGGCTTGACGTTGAAATGTCTTTTCCATTCGCATGTATCACCCATGGAACGCTCTCCCCGAATCGGTTGTATTTGAATCAACACTAGCCATGTTTAGGAATTGGTTGGATGACACACTCGGCCACTTAAATTTGTTATTTGACAATACTCCCCATCCTACATCCGGGAAACACGTTGTAAGTAATTTTTCGCCCAATGAAGCTATGAACACACTCAGAGAGCAGAGCTTTTGCATTACACACGATAAGTCCATTCTTCTGACAGTAACCTACTAACTGCATTATTTCTTAACCTTTTCCGATAAACCGCCAGATCACCCGACGGGACTTGTAAAGCAGTGCTTCATAACCCGCATAAAATCATTGTTCATTGTCATTGTTAGTTATCGCCGTAACGGTGACTGGTGTCTTTGCGACTGGAATCACCCCACTACGGTGTCAGGATCATGGTTGTTTTGCTAAACCGAGCCATAGCGTTTCCAAGCAGAATATGC